TACTGTGTTATGTCTATTATTTTCCCCTTTTCCATTCAGCTGCCATCTCCACTTTCACACTGCTATACCATCTTGATTTGTAAAACTTCCCTCTCACCCTTTCATCTTTATTAATTTTCCATTTACCCTTTAGAGACATCCACATATTTCTGCTTTCCATTTCTGTGTATTAACCCCTAATCCAACTAATTACATGCATTTACTCTTACATGCATATGTACCTCGCCTCTCTGCACTTGACTCCTTCCTGCCATCACCGAGGTTACAACTCACAACTACAAAATTCAGTAATGAACTTAAGGACATATCAGGAGACCACCCATGGTTCAGGTCCAGGCAGCGAGGTAGGGAATCTGAGTTTTACTTACCGCCAGCTATCCCTCAAGGCTTCCGTCATCTTCATGATTCAGGTCCCCCTTGTTCTCCTGTGCTTCAGCTGCCAAGAGCCATGTTAGTGTTATATTATTGTTCATGCAAACCTACAGGATCCTCCATAGGCAAAGCCTGAATCCCACAACCATAATTTGTGATGACTGCAGGGTTTGGACAAAAGTTGACCGAGGAGCTTCTACTTTTGTCAACTTTGGTCAACCTCAGGCTTTACTACTTTATATTATGATAACTTTGAATTGCATTGAAATTTCCGTGAAATGCCAATGCAGTCTTAGACAGTATTTCATAAAGATTATGTCTGTATGAAATACTGAAAAATAATAGATCAACTTTGGTAGATTCCACACAATTTATGCAAAATAATATTACACATATATGACAACAACAAAATATTTGAGATTCTTTCTGGTGAGTTCCAATTTTAAGATTATTGTCCCACAATCCAAGATAGAGTAATGCACTGTAACATATATGGTTTGCCTATAAATATGCCAAAAACTGATTTACATCTGATTTACTATATGTATGCATGACCTCATATGAAGGTTTTCCATAAATAAACTCTGTTTGAGGCCAGTAGGTATATTTTATTTTCCAAATATAGCAAAAAAAAAATAATATAAAAAATAAAACTAACATCTTTGCCTTGCAGTCCATTGTGGAACACAACTGGTCGTGGTTAATTAATACAATTGCTGAGCTTCTACTAATGTCTTCAGCTCTGAACGTGGACTTTCACCCCTTGAATCCAGATGATTAGCTCAGAATATGAGAAATACATTTTATACACATTTTATATATGTAAATATGCATTATTTCATATGCACTGCCACATATAATTTACCCAATGAGGCAATGAAGGCCCTTTGGGGATTCTATATTTACCCCTGACCAGAGTGCTAGATTTAATGCGATATTTGTGCAGTTCTACCCGGTCATTAGCATCACATGAGGTGGTTCAGTTTCTGTTCCGAGCTAAAAATTGACTACATGAATAAGTAAGCATCAGAATCTTTGAGTCTTTTCCGTGGCTGTAGTATACTAACGCATTCTACCAATGTGATGTTAATTGTGCATAAAAAATGTATATATAAATGTATATATAAACACCAAAGGAAGATGCACTCACACTGCGGCAATAAGGTATTCACAGCTTCTTGTATACATGTTTATTTTGACTCTTACATTTTTTATTTCATCCTTTATTTTTTATTCTTTATTCTTCCTTCTTTTAATTTTTTTCTTAATTTCTTTCTCGTGACTTTTTTATGAACACTTGTCATTAACACATCATTCTCAATTTATGTCACTTAGAACACAGATTTTTTTCAAAACGTTTTTTTTTATTGAGTTAAAGAAATGCAAGAAGTCTCAGAAGACAAGTGCTAATAAGGGACAACTAGCATTACCTAATAACTATCAGATGGCAAGCATGCAATGCTAAGCGTAAATATCTATTTTCTCCAGTTACATAATAGCAAGATAAGTCGCTGTTGGCAATAACCAGAAAGAAATAAAAATAAAAACGAGAAGATAAACAGCTGAGGGGTCTAGTACCCTCTTGGGCAGCATATGGTAAATATAACAAGGCATTTTGTTACACTAAATTGGTAAATAATGTCCGTTGGTAAATTGGTCAATAATGTTAGTTGGTGAATTGGTCAATAATGACAGTTGACTTTTAAGATTAGTGTACACCTTTGCATCTTCTAGTATGCTATGCAGAAGAATTTAGACAGTGCAGACCAACATTTATCTATTGACCTGGTGTGAATTCTCAGTGCACCCCAGCTTTCTGTAATGGCTCTGAGGCATTTGTCTGCACAGATCAATAGAAACATGTTATCTCTGCTTCCATAGATATTTCAGGTATATAGCGATATAAACCTACTCTCTGACGTTCTGCACAGTAGTTTTCTTTAGAGTTATTTGTCTGTAAAGGTACAGATCTACGATATGTTTCTGCAAATTTACAGATCGATTGTTCTTGTAGTTCCTGGGAAATGAGAGGGAGTTGGGGGGGGGGGGATATTGTTCATTCCGATCTCCCTTTACAGATTAGGAGGTGTGATACCCATTGTATTACCTCCTTAAGACAACCGATTGTTATAAGATATTAATTTTATTTAATTCTCCTTATATTTTATTTTTTTTCACTTTAATTTATATAACAATATGATGACAACATTAACACTATCATGAGGTACGAGTAGGATGAGTATTGAAATAAACAAAGCCATGAGACATATGAGGTTAACTTCTGGGAACGTAGGTTATTAAGGAATAATATTCAGGAATTCATTGGGAAGATCTTTGTTATTAGCAATAATCAGCATGGTTTTATGAAACATAGGTTATGTCAAACTAACCAGGTCTGGGTGTTGCAGTGGATGTAATCTGCTTGGATTTCACCAATGTGTTTTTATATGGTTCCTCACAATAGATTACTGTTCGTTCAAACTAAAAGAAATTGGTCTAGATGAAAAATGTTGTTCTTGGGAAGAACATTAGCTTAAAAATAGAGTACAGAGAGTTTTCATTAATGGTAAATTTTCAAGCTGGTCAGAGGTGGTAAGTGGTGTCCCTCAGGGTTCTGTCCTGGGACCGCATGTATTTAACATATTTATAAATAATCTTGAAACATGCACTGAAAGCCATGTTTCAGTGTTTACAGATGGCACAAAACTCTATAAAAAAAATGCAATGTGAACAGGATATTGCTTTGCTGCAGAGGGATTTAGATCAATTGGGCAACTTGATGCTCAAATGGCAGATGAAATTTAATGTAGAAAAATGAAAGTTCAGGGTAAAGAATGCACAAACAACTTACACCCTAAATGGTAGTGAATTGGGGATAAAAACACACAAATTGGGAATTGTTATAGATAAAAAAAACTAGGCAATAATGTACAATATTAATTGGCAAGTGCTAAGGCCAGTAAAGCATTGTCCTGTATAAATAGGGGCAAAGTAAGGGTTTTTTTACAGTAGAAACAATAAGGATGTGGAAATCTGTGTTCTATCAGAGTCCGTAGAGATGTTTAACCCCTTAAGGACACATGACATGTATGACATGTCATGATTCCCTTTTATTACAGAAGTTTGGTCCTTAAAGGGTTAAACAATAACTGAATAAATACTTGCAAAAACATAATATTCAGGGATATAATCTTTAATTAGTGGGTAATAGCTTCTTGATCCAAGGAGATATGTGACTGACAATCTGGGTTCAAAATGAAAATGTTTTCTGGTTTGTTGCATAATTGGAAATGATTCCAATTGGGTAATTACCTTCTTTTGGATCAACAAATGTGAGAAAGGCTGAACTCGATGGAGGCATGTCTCTTTTCAGCTATGTATCTATGTATGTATGTCATAAAGCTTCTGTGTTACATAAGCCTTGGGACATATTTGTATTTATTCTTCAACTTGACAGGATGTTTCTAATAATGTTACCAGTGTTGAAGAGATAACACCCAACCTATTGCCAGTAGAAGATCTGTGATTACGTAAGAGACACTAAATCTTATACTTATATACACAACCATTCTGTCATGGAAAACCCATTTCATGAAGTTCTCATGCAGTGTGGAACTCTGCAATGAGTGATGCAACAGACAAGAGGTGATGTTTATTCACCGCACACGTCAGCACTTGGCACTCCCACTCTGTGAGTATATATTGTCTATCACTTTGTGGCTGGGCTGTTTTGCTCCGAAACACTTCCACTTCACAAGAATAGCACTTACAGCTGATCGGGGTAAATCTAGTAAGGCAGACATTACACCATCTGACATGAGGCAAAGGTGGCATCCTATGACAGTGCCATGTTTAAAGTCACTAAGCGCCTGAGTACAACCTATCGATCTGTCAAATGACATACCTGGGGATTTCATGGCTATGAGCTGGAGAGAGAGAGAGTATGTGTGTGTGTGTGTGTGTGTGTGTGTGTGCGTGTGTGTGTGTGCGTGTGTGTGTGTGCGTGTGTGTATGTGTTTTAAACTGGTAAAATACATCTAGTCTAGGAATAAAGTGCTTTGGTGGGGGAAATTAAATGCATCACCCTGTTGCATCCAATCTACTGGGATTACTGACAGACACTCACTGCTACCTCCCTAAAATGACTCTCTCATTTGTATGCAATGAATAGAAGACACTCTATGGGGTGATTGAAGACACAAATTAACCCTGCACACTGCAGACCATTATGTTCTGAGTACAATATGCAATTTTTGAACATTCAGATGCTAATAAATACTCCTCATCTCATTGTTCTACTGACAAAGGAAAGCTACTTAATTTGATCTTTCTTTGATAATATTATATAATTTCAGTAACTAGGACTTATTGATATAATTTTTATATTTATGATATATGAATTTGAGTATTTACGTATATAGTAGAATGCAAACAGCTCAATCTGTGTGTCAAACCATTTTTCTACCAAAATACATACATCAGAGACAATGGTTTAATTGCTGGATAATTCCAACAGGTGGCACTGTATCCTCGTATCTCTGAAGCAGTCACACAATGGGATTCAAACACCTCCCTCTTGTAAATGGTTGGATCCACAGCAGTATAATAGCCATAGACAAAGAGCGGCTGTGGCTTTCTCTACTGCTTGACTGCCTGTGAACTTAAATAAACTGATTGATTACAAGGAAAGAGACTGCACTCAAAACAGTACCTGGGAGAAATTAGAAGACTATTTTCCCACTCAAAGGAATCACCACCTTTAGTTTAGAAGCAACAGCACAAGGAAAGAACAAAAGTCTGATGACCAATGGCTTATATTTCCTGAATCATCTGCACTACTTTCAGCTGGACCACCTGTTTAACTTTTTCCTGTTATCCAAAAAGTTTGGTAAAATAGAAAAATGAACCAGACAGAAGCTGGATTTCCATTCTCAAACAGTAGTGACTCAATAATTAGGATCTTGGGTTGCTGTACCCAAGCTTCTGTTGTAACAGACGATGGGTTTGATGTGTCCTCTCCTGACGAGAGAAACCTTTTCATCATGAGAGTGGTTCAGATCGCAGTGATGTGTGTTCTGTCCCTCACTGTAGTTTTTGGCATCTTCTTTCTTGGGTGTAATCTCCTTATCAAATCTGAAGGGATGATAAACTTTCTCGTTAAGGAAAGAAGACCATCCAAAGAAATCGAAGCAGTGATTGATGGACCTTACTGAGGGGAATCGAGTAAATTTTGGTAACAACACAAGCCTGATGATATCCCAAAGGAGGTATCTTTAACGATGCATTTTGCCTTTCGTTCTTTCGTTTCTAACGATGCATTTTGCCTTTCGTTTCTATGTGAAATCTATCGAATAAAAATATAAACCAATCATGGATGGAGAAAGATTTGACAGTGCCAGAAAATCCAAGACAGGACAAAAAATTTAGCTTTTCTTCTTTTCTTTGCTTAAAAAGTTCCTCTGAAATGTTCCAAGTGCTTCTAACAGAACAATGCAATTAATCTTGAAACAAACACACATACAGCACTTTAAAAAAATGGTAGGGGGATCACTACACACATCCTTTATTTATTGCCCAAAGCAGAATTTGTAAGAATGTATCGTATCGTATAGTATAAAGCACAGACAAAAAAAATCTTAATTTTTAGTTTCTTGCTGGAAGGAAAATAACTTGCAGTTCTTTGATTGTAATATTTTTTATTGATATTGTAATGGTTTTCTTTAAACAAAGCATACTTTGATACGGATACCGTAACCTTTGATGACTCCAAGGCATTATTTATTCATGTTAAGCTTGGACTATTAAATATTGTTTTTATTATACATCTCTTACGTATGATAATGGAAACTGTGAATGTTTGCAAAATCTTTGCAGTATGGCATTTTGTACACTTGATCTAATTTATATGGTTCCTGTAACTGTTTTTTGAGCCTCGGTTCAGCCTGTCTGTCTCAATTTACTCATTACTGGTTTACAAAACACCCTGACAAATGGAAGGAAGCTTTTTACATTTGGGTTTCCCAATAAGTAGGAAAACCTAATTTGTGGTTTACTGTTACAGTTTGGTTTAAAAGCAACAACGACAACACCGCTCATTATAGTAATACGATTATATGAAATGCTAACTCGGAGGAGACACTGAATTAAAAATAGGGAAATATCACTTTCCTACTAATGAATTACCTGTTAATAAACATATTAATATATTTACAAACGATTTGTGCCTAAAATACACGTCAACCTTTACAATCACCAAAGGGTAAAGCTTGTTGTTTTTGTATATATGATGCATGAATCCATACGTAGCAAATCATGCCATTTTTTACTTTTATTATAATTATTTGTAGTATCGGTTTCAGAGAAATTAATATTTGCAGAGAGAACACCTAGTTAATAATATGTATGTTATGTTTAACCCCTTAACGACTGACCACTACGCATTGCTATCATCTCAATCTGGTCCCTAATTACCTGATGTCATCATAAAGGTTTTTTGGTTTTTTTTTTTAAAGCTTTTGCAGTTCCATCATGGACAACAACTGCAGATATGTGGGGTCATTCTATTGTGGAACGAGATTTTTAACCCCTTAAGGACCAAACTTCTGGAATAAAAGGGAATCGTGACATGTCACACATGTCATGTGTCCTCAAGGGGTTAATGAGCAAATTGTTACGGTAGCAGTGATTGTCATGGTTGAGTTTTGAAAGGGTTAATTTATGACACTGACTGAAAATTAGCTTATTCACTCCACCATGGGTTGAGTGATTTTCAGACTCATTATGCTTTATTTTAATTTTTGTAAGGTCACTTGTCAAATTACTGCTATTCACTATTAAGTGATTAGACCCCAGGGAAGAAAATTGCAGCAGGCTGAGATGTAAAAGGTTAATGCAATGTATGATCATGACCAACAAATACAATCTTTTCTTTTAGTAATACAGCATAAGGTTTATTGCACATAGCATAAAATTCCAAATGTCAAATTTAATGTAAAAAGCAGAATTATAGTTATATGACTATTTGGGTAAATTCTGTAAATGATCTCCGAGATGGAAAAATTAACAGAAATCAATTACTTTAAAACTGAGATGGAAAATCTAGCTTTCATCAGTTACCATAAACTATTAATCACTAACAACAGGTGCAATTTAGATATAAAAACAAACTGGTAAGGAACAAGTATTATTTATGTACATAACATTAGCCAGTTTCCTGGTTAAGAGCTGGAAATTTTCCATGCATACATTTAAAAAACAGATCTCCTAAAAATGGAAATATAAATGACTTTAATTAAAATAATTGCATGTGTCAAGATAGTTATGAATATTAAAAAAAATGCATCACTCCGAAAATCTGTAATGCAAATGAATAATCAATAAAAATGGGTTTACAGCTCTGCACAGAGATGTATCCTCATAGCTGTGTACAACTGTTATATACTCATGTTGTAATAATATAATAAAAAAAACGTATCCTCACATATAACATATGGAAAAGTTAACAAATGAAGCAGACTTCATATTTCTCATTATACATAACATGCAGAAGTTAAAACAGTTCAATAAGTATTGATTGACTTGAAATATTTATTTGAAAGAAAAAATGTAATACAAATAAATGAGTTGTAATTTTTTTATTATTATATGGAAACTGTTAAAAGGAAATATACTTTTTGGGGCATTTCATAAATAAACATAAGTCCATAAAAAAGTCATGTAGTAATGTTGTTTATTAAAGCATACATGAGTTCTAGATTGTAAGTAGAATCTGTTTATGTTGTGAGACAATATACTGCAATGGTGAAAGTCAGCCACCAATTTTAAAAGAATATGCCATATGGTAATATCTTATAGATTAAAGGGATACTATAGTCACCAGAACCATTTCAGATTAATGTAGTGATTCTAGTGTCTATAGCATGTCCCTGCAGGCTTTTCAACGTAAACACAGCCTTTTCAGAGAAAAAGCAGTGTTTACATTGCTGTCTAGGGACACCTCCATTGACAGTCTCTCAGACAGCCACTAGAGGTGCTTCCCATTCCAGTGCTGCACATTGTGCTACACTGACGTTCAGCGTCTCCAAGCTCTGCATGAAGGCGCTGAACGTTCCCCATAGAGATGCATTGCATCGGTATGAGGAGATGCTGATTGGCTCAGCACGAAATTTGGCAATGGGAAAGCATTGGATTGGCTTAGATCATCAAGATTGATCATCTCCATAGAGGTGAAGCCAGTCACCCAAACAGCCACATCAGGACTATTGTGTCAGGAATACATGTTTATATTCCTTACACTGTAGTGTATCTTTAAGGAATAGAAAAATCATTTTTTATATTAAATTAGGCATTGGGGTTTTTTTTCAAGAGCAAATATATTGTGGGGCAAAGGTCTAGAATGGAACATTTAATGGAAACATTCCAGTGGTTGCCATGGACATTGTTCTATACTCAGAAGCTTTCCCCAGTTCTCTGATTTGTGGATTTGGATGAGCTGTAAGAGCTAGAAATGTTGCCATCCCAAAACAGTCTGTGTATGAAATGATTGATGGTTGATGGTTGTTGCAAATTAAGGTTATTGTATATTTGCTGTTGAACAAGCAAATGTTCTAGGACCAACATATAATAGTGGCATCTGTGGTTTGTTAAACACTGTTGGATCTCTGAGCATCCAAGAGTATGATGTAGTAAGGGTATGTGAAAAGAATATGTATCTCAGCATGTCCATTAAATATTGGCCAAGAACCATCACTTGCTTTCAGATGCACATGGCACAATGTAGGGAAGGAATAGGTAGCTGGCAAAGCTGAATTTAAATACACTGCAACTTAAACCCACTGCAATAATATATAATAATAATAATTATTGTAGTTAAAACCTTCTGTAACTAACTTTGTAAACACTGATTAGTGTGTATCTATATATTTTTTGGAGTTAGTTTGAGCAGCTATTGCCTCTATTTTTATTCAATCCTCTCTGTTTAGTTATATTGTGAGAGAGTAGCTAGGGAGGCAGACACAGCATGATTCTGTCAACTTAGCTCCTCTCCCAACATATCACAACTGGGAGAGAAGCTGAATTTATGGCAGCAGCTGCAAATAAAAGCCAAAGCTTGGGATTGTATCACATGCCAAAATCTAGCAGACTGGGACCGGTATACCCCTGTTCTTCCGTAAGTTTAAATGAGCCAAAGTGAGACATTACTTAAAAATATAAACCTCGCCATGAGTAAGTAGTTAGTTGGGTTTATTTGGAATGCTACCAGGGTTGCTGATAGGTGGAAAACAGAGGTTTCAGTCAACAGTAGTCCCTCTAGATATGTTTGATTAGAAACTCTGCTTCTTATATATTAATTTATTACATAATTGCATCGTTTTATCAAGAGTAGTTGAATAATCTGTCCTTGGAGATTTTGTTTTTCCTTTGTCAGTATTACATATTGTAATATGGAGATATAAATCTTACCTCCAATTGCAATTTTTTGTAGATAAAAATGAAAGGGTGCCATAATCAGTCCTGAAGCCTCAACATGGGGCTCCAGCCCAGAGCAGCCTCCCTAATATCACCCCCTAATGCTCCTGTAATAAGAAGATGCACGTAAGTTTGTAATTGCAAGAAGCAACACAAATCATGCTGGTACAAGTAACTCTGGTCAATATTGCTTCCCCGCTGTTCTCAAATCAAGGATTTGCTTTGTCATTACAAGTAACTAAGAATTATTTCCTAGTGATAGCAGATCATACTGATATCAGGCCAGTGGCACAATAAATTCAATCAGGTGATTACTCGGATGCATGTGCTTGATCTACTCCAAGGGCAGACTCTGGGCATTTCAATTTCAACACCAGAAAAAGGAAATGAAATGACACAATGTACCTATTCCAGAGGAAGACCTGCAGTGCTCTTACAGTGCCCAAAAGCTTTAGCTGCTGAACGTAAAGGGCAGCCAAAATCTGATAATTGATTGAAAAAACTATTTTTTGCTTTAAAAAAAATACTATAAAACTGTAAGCATGCTGTTGTATCAAATCATTTTCTATTAAATAATTAAACAAATAGGTCTGATATTTCATCTGCAAATGTATCACTTCTGTATGAGATAAGCAGATACATTTGTGTAGGATAGTAATTAACAGAGTGGGATTTTTTAAGGGAAGTACAATTTAGAGAATTAGTGTTTTTCATTTTATTTGGAATGATTTATCCATATGTAATTTCAGCTAGTGAAAAGAAGAATATGTAATCACATGGCATTAAATATACTTAAAGTGGCTCTGTCACCCCACCTCCCTCCTAAGTGAGTATTTTCTAAAGATAAAATCTTTGTCAAATACATTGACTTTGTTGGAATAACCACTAGAGACTACTTTATTTTAGTATATTCTCGAAGCTTGACAAAAGCTACAGCCATCAAGTTTTGTCATTTCCCGCACCGGCCATTAATGACAGCTTTGGGGGAAAAGGCTCTGTCTATGGAGGATCCCGCAGTCTTGTGTGATCTTCTTTAGACTTCAATGTAAAACACTGAGGTTGCATATGCCAGAGTATAACACAGTTATGGACTCCTGTAAAATGAAGCATTTGGGCAGGCAGGAAGATCATGACAGCGGCCACGAGGGACAGGTTCAGGTAAATTAAACTCACCTCCCCCTGTGCCAGATGACCCATGGAAAACAGTCACCATCAGGGGGCTTTGCAAAATATGCAAATACCTAAGATAGTGACAGAGTCACTTTAATATCCTCAATAGCATTATATGATGGTCTATTTAGTTAAATAATATTCAGTTTGTTACATAAAAAAGATTGACATGTTTAATTAATTTAAATTATTCCCTGTGAATAGTTATTACCCAACTGAATTGGGCTTATCTCATTAACCTTGGAAGGAGGAAAAGCTTAGTTAATCCAGTGAGAATAGAACTTGACCCTATGGGTTGAAATCTAACTTTAAAATGTTAGTCCAAGCACCAGAATAATTACAGCTCTATTTAAATCTGGTTTGTTTTTGTTTTTTTTGGGGGGGGGGGAGTTGGATCTAAATGCAATTCAAGTTTCCACAGCCCAAAATTAATGTCTTAATGCATACCAAGTAAACGTGATGTAAATCTTTAACCAGATTTCCACCTTTTCTGTCATGGAATTTTTCCCAACATGGAAAACTCCGGAGAGCTTTCAATGTTATTTAATGTAGTCGTTTTGGTGCAACAACCCTGTCTAGGCAGCCAGATAAATCGAAACATTGTCATTTGTGAAAAGCGTCAATGCTCCCGTGTGTCAGCTAAAATGCTTCTAATGGAGTTGCAAAAAAAAAAAAAAACAAAGGCCTTTATGGCAGGATGGTTCGAATCAACTAATGTTCCAAATCAAAATGGAGAACAACATTAGTAGGTCACAAGGTTGCTATTCTAAGTCTTTCATAGAAACATAGAATGTGACGGCAGATAAGAAACATTCGGCCCATCTAGTCTGCCCAATTTTCTAAATACTTTCATTAGTCCCTGTCCTTATCTTATAGTTAGGATAGCCTTATGCCTATCCCACGCATGCTTAAACTCCTTTACTGTGTTAACCTCTACCACTTCAGCTGGAAGGCTATTCCATGCATCCACTACCCTCTCAGTAAAGTAATACTTCCTGATATTATTTTTAAACCTTTGCCCCTCTAATTTAAGACTATGTCCTATTAAAGGATGACTGGTTACAAAAATTAGAGCTGCAACACAATACTTCGCCTTGCATTGTTGAAAACCTAGACATTTAGAGTAGTCCAGACTATACTTGTGCCTATTAATACCTATGGCATATCTCTCTTGGCAATGGATGAATTTGTCTTATAAGTAAAGAAGTCTTGAGAATTAGAACAAATCTTTTTTTATGTTACACTGTTTCAATGTATAAGTTTGTTGTTGTCCAAATATAGACATAAACCTCTGGCAAACTCTCGGGGAATGGCAAACATCTCCTGAGAATGAGCACTTGTAAGATTTAAATTATAACTTTATTTGATTTTTGTATTTGATGTTTTTATGTCAAAATTAATTTAAAATCAATAAAATATTTGAAGACAAAGAAAAAAAGAACTCTTCTTGTGGTTGTAAATAAGACACCCTCTAGAGTCACCTTCTAACACAGGTTTTCAATAATTGAGAAGCATTTAACTGGGTGAGCACAGAGATTGCTGCACATGCACGATAGGCCCTCATCAAATTATCAGAAAATGTCATCACAGGAGGAGTGGCTGCAGCTGGGAGACTGCGTTGAACTACAAGTACGTTTACAGGCTTTTTTTTATATATATCTATAGTTTTATTCTACAATGGAGAATATGTATTCTAATTAAGAAACACACTAACGTTAAAAATGAATATATACATTTTTAATGCTGGAGTGTTCCTTTAATCGAGAATCAAGGCTCCTAATGTGATTAGTACCCAAGACAACCAGAGCTTACATTTGTAAATGTCCAAGGTCTAATTCCTAAGTATTCAACCACAGTAATATATCACAATTATTTCAAGCCCACCTGTGATTTTGTGAATAAAGCCAAACCGGGCCCATTTCACGAACTGCACCTGCATTATCATTATTTTTGTTATTATTTTTATTATAATTTTTTATAAAGCGCCAACACATTCGAGGACACTGTACAATGGGTGGACTAACAGACAAGTATTGGTAACAAGACAAGCTGGAGGCACAGGAACACCATTAGCTCTTATGTTAATCCAGCCCAGAATGGGGTACAAAGAAAAGAAAAACACTGGACCGCATACAATCTAAGAATCTCTTTCTCAGAACCACCTACTTCCTACTATATTGTCACGATTCATTATTTGGCAATGGGCAATAATCCAGTTTTGCTAATAGACTTCTGGACCCTGCAGGAGCCTCCTGTACTGTACATGATTACAGTTCAATTTACATAGCTGGAGACAAAAACCTCTAAAGCACGTTAACATCTGAATTAAAGTAAACCAGGTGTGAGGTGTGACTAGGGTTACATGAGCAGAAACAAAAGTAATTCAGTTAAAAATCGATAAACACAATATCTTAAAGAAATAACATTTGTGCATATAAAATATATTGTTGTATTTTGATCTCCTTATTATGCAATCTTATTAATTCAGCATATTGGCCAGAATCTCTTTTATTTTGTCATTTTCCCAAGCAATTATTAAGCACTCAATTGCCCCAAAAATTTAACATGGTCCATATTGTCACACAGCTCCAATAGGTTTTCACATTACCCTATGTACATATCTATTTCTCTATATTTTGTTGTACACCTAGTATACAATGTTGCTATTTGTTTGATGTATATTGCCTCCTACGTTTTGACATCTCCCACATGTTGTTAGATTTCCTTGTATATACTGCTCCATTGGTGTTTGCATTCTTTTCACTTGTAATATTTTTATTATAGGCATAGAAATACTATCTAAATTAATTTGATGTTATTATGAGCTATGAAATCATAGATTTTATTTTCTCTTGTCAGAACTAATTATATGTTTCTATCTGATGTCTATAAATGGAAGAAATCCACATAAGCTAGCAAGCAGTATTAACTGTAATTACACCATATTATATACACTTAATGCTGTTCTGAAAACTACATTTGTACCCACAACCATGCAATTTATAATGCTTAGTGTTTACATCTGAGCTGATATTATTGCAAAATCTTGTTTCTGATTATTGCAGTGGTGGTACTACCAGGGTCACAAGGCCGCGAGTACGAGCGGGGACCCAGGGAGCAAATAATTTTCTAGAGCGTGTCCTAGTTATACACAGTTAGGATTTAACAAATTCAGGTTTTCCTCATAAGGTAGCGTGCAGACTTTTTAAGGAAATTTCCTGGTGGTACACCTGAGCTGAGCATGTCCAGGGTAATGCCTGCTATTAATCTCTCTGGGGGCCACGGGCAGCAATTAGAGCTCATCCTAAGTAAGTGACAGCCTTGCGAACCTCAAAGGAGAAGCTGTGTAGGAAGGTTCATCCATGGCTGAGTAAACATGAGGTAAGAAGTTATCAGGGAACGTGAGCATAGTCACATGATATGGGCAAAAGCATATGAAGGCTGGAGGTCTAGCAAATATTAGACGGCTAAATGATCTGAGCCTAATGAGCAAGGGTTATACAAGAATAGAAATAGAAAGGGAAAACAGGAAAAAGAGAGATGACTTAGAAAGAGACATGAGAACAGAGTTGACAGGGAAAAGGCAGTGAGAGCTGTGAACAGAAGGACATTCACCTAATATAATTAGAATGCAGGCTCAATACAAACTTCATTCACACACATTTAAGCCTATGCACAAATATAACCTTACACAGACATACACACATACACACACTTACCTTCCTAACAAATACACCTTTGTAGTCGCACACAGTACAAATCCACCTCTGTATTCAAACATACAATGATGTGCATGGGATACAAATACATCCCTGCATTCACACACTCTAACACTTAGCACAACTACATACATACATTCACACACTCAAATAGGGTGTTTCACTAAATTGAAATCCAAATGGCAACTTTAACTATGGCTGAGTTGGAGAATGTTTTCAGATCATCTTCTTTGGCCTGAATTTTTCCCATTTTGAATTCGATAGAGTTCTGAGTTTAGTGAATACATCTCTGAATAAAGGTCTAGTGAATACACCTTTCTGTGTATACACATTAACAATTCACACAACATTACACCAGCATTCACATACACACAATGACACTCCACACAAATACACACAGACAGCATATTTACATATTGCTACACACAAATATACACATATGCACACTAATAATAACTGTAAGGAAACCTAGTATATCCAAATCTCATTCGGTAGTTTCCTTCAGAGCGGCCAGAGTATCAGTGACTATAACTCTCCGTTCGGCAGATAAAATAAATGATTTCCATACGAATGCAATAGCTTTACCAGACGATTCCCTTAGTAAAGCACACGAATACCCAAACATCAGCCGGAGTCTAGAAGAAGGGTGCAACAGAACTGAGCTTTATTGTGCCACACTGGCTTTTATACAAGTGCCCATTCAAGGGGACATCCCACAGGGAGGGACATGGTACAGCCAATCATAACAAGAAAAATAGTTATACACTCCCATTGCAAACATACAATTCCCTCGCTTGGACCTGGAGATAATTAAGGCAGATAACATAATAACTTCATTATCTCCAGGCAGAAAAAGTACAGTTTTACCCAACTTTCAGAACACCCCTAAAAACATGGGGTATCCCCTGATAGTCCTGATCTGGGTGACCAACATATCCAAAAATCACCCAGATCAGTTCAGGGGTTCTTAAATTCCATGGAGGTCTTAGGTGACCGGCTTACCACGAGACTGTTGCCCAAAACAGTTCCATGAGTTTGGGTGGTTTTGCCGGTCTATTTCGTGAAGTTGAAATAAACGAATAATCCCACGAACGGTTTCCCCTGGCTCCTAGCAGCGATTGTTCCCCTCATCCGAATGCACAAAAGTACCGCGGTCTCCTAGCTGTTCGGGAAACAAAGATCCAGCATTCGTATGTTGGGACCTGTGTTCGGGAAGTCAAGTGTCCGATTTTAGTTCCACACACTCAACAACCAAGTCCCGCTGCCTTTGTTTGCACAAACAAAATGGCCACCATTTTCTCAGCCACGTGGCGCACACGCAGAGGGTTTAATTGAAGGATGCTTTTGAAGTTAACAAACCAGTGGGGTTGTCTCTGTTCGATAGTTACATCTACGGAATGAAAAGGGGAGAAATAACAAATACAAAGAGGGATTTCTTCACAATAACACTAGGAGGTACAAACTTGTATTTATGTTGCCACAGTATACACCATAAAACTCAGGCATTCAGTCTGAAAATACATAAATACCACATACAGATCTACACCTGCTTTCACATATACCTCACTAACGTATACCCTGCATTTGCAAATACCCACATTGTATACAGTTATGCAGCGCTCACAGATGCAAACATGAATTTATTAAAAAATGAATTCCAATAAATTAAATATTGAATTGCAAAACTAGACATTTTTTCCAATTCTGCTTTTTGTTCTACAATCTTAAATTTAGTTTTCAATTGATAACGCCTTGGGTTTGGTTGACTTGTGATATATAGTGTAGAGTGTTTATATTTGTCTGTATGGAACTATGTAGTTTGTTGTATGCTACATAAGTATTTTAATACTTTACTGATTCTTGGACTCGGGTCAATTCGTTTCTCGTATTATTTTATCAGATAAAGTGGAATGCAAGATATGCGTGTTTTTTATGATGACAAAGGGAAGCGGATGTCTACTTGCATAACCCTTTAAGCCTTGTGGATAAATGGTTAAAATGCACTCTATTTGACAGATCTTTTGTTTTCTGTTATGTGCATGAAGGATTGTTGCAAAGCCGAGAGGTTTTATCAACCAGTCAAACATGACCCTCATTTTTTTTGATGTGATAGTCTCTGAGGTCCACTAGACCCTGCAATATTTTTTGATGTTTTTAATGTCTACATGTAACTCCTTATGGACAGAGGTTATTGTCCAAGCTTTGAAACCGAAGCAAAACCTAGAATTTGTGCTTTGTGTTAGTCCAACTGGAATTCAATGCTTCTGTTTAACTGTCCCCATAAATAAATTATTATTGATTTTTAAAGAAGAGAAAGTGCTTTCTTTTAATACCCTATATGTATATCTACCTTACCTTACAATAAACCCTAACACTACCCTAACACTAGGTCTACCCTATTCCTAACCATAAATAAAAACTCTCTCTGTACTGATATTAGCAGATGATTTTCCTAGTTAAAACAGTAGAGTAGTGTGTTGCCATCATCTACTAGTTGTTTTCAATATTCAAGGTTTTCCTGTATTATTGAATCAAGCAAGTATTCTGTGAGCAGCAATCCGGGTCCGTTCCGATCCTGGGGTTCTCCCCAACTCGATGGTCCCAAGGCCATCGAGTTGCCATCAGATCAAAACTGCAGAACATTCCATGGCATTTAAGCCCCCTTAACATCGGGAAGGGATTAATCAGAGTTGTGCCTTTGTTAGTCAACATCCCCGGTCCCCCTGTAGACTACCAACTTTTAACACCATACAAATGGAAAGTGTGTGACTGTTTAGTTTTACTCCAAACAAAATGTGGGGTGGGAGGATTCATACCCTCAGTAACTAGCCATAAACTCATAAAATATTCAGAAAAATTATTGCAATAAAAGGGTTAGCAAAGTTTTTATTTAATATTTTCATTCCATTGGTACAGCTGAGTGCAATCATAAAAAAATATGTTGCAACTGTGAATGCGAATCACAAAAGTCCTGATTGTGATGTTCAGGAACAATTATAAAAAATAAACTCTGCTTGGAGACATCTGTGCTGATTTAAACCATATTAATGGAATGTTGATCCAGTCAGTGGATATTTCATTTTAGTTTTATTTATTATCTATTTTTAAAAAATATGTATTTGTGAGGTGTGAAAAAAATTTGAATATAGGAATCCATACTGTGTTATCCTGTAACTGTGCAAATCCATCTTAGCTCCCTGTCAATCATTGTTATTTGAGATGTAAAGTAAACCCTGCATACATGTGCTCATTATAGAAAATCCCGAGCCAGTAGCAAACATTTGAAAATATTCCATTGGTATATATCTGAGAAAGTAAGATTTGTAGACAAGAAAACATTGAAATGTCGCTAGGAAATGAAAATAGGTATTCTTCAAAAAATCTGTCACTGTCGTCACGTCTCTGCTGTTACATGTCTGTTACTGTCGGATTCATGATTTCTGATTGCTTGCTCGAACCTACAGCTAAACGGTGAACACAGGTAACACCTGTAGGAAGAGATGTGAACAGTGAGTTTCCTGGAAACCGACACTGCACGAACGTCAGGGAAACAAAGATAATCTGAGCGCCTATTCATATCGTGCACATTGAAAAGGAGACTCGTGACATCAGATGGATGGGAAAGGAATGAACGCATTGCAGTTAAAATGCTAAAGTGTGCACTGTATTATATTATGTTATATTATATTATATGTATTTCTTTTTGGTCTTTATTTTCTGGGATTTTTTTCGACAAGGATATCTGTGAAAAAAATAATAATCCCCCAAAAATGTATTTAGTGAAACTCCAAGCATACACACATTAGTTATGGTATACAGGTCAAGGTGCTATAAGTTTTGCTGTTTTTTACTTCTTTTTCTAATTTCTGTAGTTTCGTAAAAAAAAATTATTCTTTTTTTACTTGTCCCACCAATGTGAACCGTAAAGTTTATATTTTGCCCCAATAAAATGCTATGCCTTACCTATATTATTGAGAGGATAAACAGCAGGTACTTATGGGAACTGTAGATCAGTGGTCAGCATTATAATTAAAGGGACACTATAGTCACCAGAACAACTAGAGCTAAATGTAGATGATATGGTGAGTATAAACAGTTCCTGCAGGCATTTAAATGTAAACACTGCCTTTTTAAGAAAAGGTAGTGTTTACATTGCTGCCTAGGGACACCTCCACCTGGCAGTCACTCAGATGGCCACTAGAGGTGCTACCTGGGTTCAGCGTCTCCATGCTCTATATGGAGGCATTGAACATTCCCCATAAAGGTGCATTGAGTCAATGCATCTCTATGAGGATATGCTGATCGGCGCTGGGCATACACGATTGCCTCCAAATGCTTTCCTATGGGAGCTGCAACTGGACCAGCGCAGCGCTGGAGAAAGGTGAGTATATAACCTTTTTAACTGAGGACAAGATGGGGCCCAGGGGGCTGAACAGCTATTTAGAACTATAGTCTTTATGTTTGTATTCCTGACACTATAGTCTTCCTACAAAGCTGGATAACCAACATTTAGGTTCACTCCAACTGCATATTTTTCTTTAACTGCACTAATTGCCTGCAAATTATAATAGCCTAACTGTGAAAAATACATTATTAAAAACATTTTCCTCTTTATTTTGCATGCTAAGTTAGACATTAGAAATTGATGAAAGGTATAAAGAGAAAGCAGTAAATGTTCTTCAAATTATACATTAGTGCACTAAGAGAGAAAGATTTTAATTATCACTAAACAAGATATAGCAAAAATGTATCTTGTCCTCAAACTAAAAACAGAGCTCATCATCATAATCAAGGAATTTCACTTTATCAGTTATTTTTAATGAATTTATTTATTTTATTTATGGAATATGTGTATAATGCATTAATATAGCAGGTCATCGACAATCTTTACTGTCCCTTTAATACATTTGAAAGGTTGCAAAGAATTATGGGCCAGCTGCTATTTGTTTTGTTTGCACAATTTTTAGCACATTGTTCCCTGGGTAGAGTTAGAGACACAGAGGAAGACAAATAGTATAAAGTTGTTTTGTTTTTATATAGCAAATATTTTTTTCATCACACAAAATGTCGTTTTTCATTGTGGTTATTGCTTCCATTTATGAAGTTTTTTTTAATCTTGTGTACCTTGGTGGGTTATATCGGAAGAAAGTTCCACTCACTTCTGCAAATATCCTGCTATTAAATGTACTGGCCTTTTCAAACCAGACAGGACTTCACTTAAACATTATCATTCATTCATTAATAACTATCTGAATTCTAGAAAAAAGAAAAAGAAAAAAACTTAACAATGTAAAAATAATTGAATGTATTTTATTTTTTTTGCAACTGTATAATATTATATGTTATTTAAGATCATATCACCAAAAGAGGTAAGTGTCAGTAAAGGTGCATAAAGGTGTAAAAACATGTATACCATAATCAAAATAATAATATATGAGGGTTGGAAAAGAAAGAATATTAATGCGGATGTTCACACTGTGTCAACTGACACTCTCTGCCAATTAATAACTCCCAAACTTGTGAAAAGGGATATAGCTAATGCAGACATATGAATTTCAGCTTTAGATTATCAATTCAAACTGGAAGAACCAATGACAACTAACAGAGCCAGGTAAGTGTCACATGATTTCTAAATGGTTTGATCGCTTTCCAGGGAACCCCTAGTACCATAATCACTACATCACGCTTTTTGTCATATAGACAACATGTGTTTTGGGGCAACTGCTTAGCGTGCCCCTTTAATTATATATCAAGAGGGATATTATGGTGAGTTTGACGTGTTACTTTCAAGATGGTTTAAGGTAATCATTATCATAATATTAGGCTCTCGGTGAACAGCTACAGTGATGGGGCAGCATTTTGGAGTTTTTTAGTCATTTTTCTTTAAAAACCTCTTAACTACATAACTAGTATACAGGTACTGGATTTGTGTAAAAATGCATTGAGCCAGTTCATCTGAATCAAAATCCTTTTTTAATCCACACCTGAACAAATCGATTCTCTTTGGATTTATCTGTGGAGTCATTCATTCATTCACTGTGACTTGTACAAGTCTAGTAGACACCATTGCTACTGGTTATATATAGATAAAAGATTTCACACATACTTTCCCACTCACTCCCTTTATTACAAATATACATTATTACAATTATTTGGAAGATGCTTGTTTTTGGTCAGGTTAGTATGAGGATTTTGGCTTTTTAGTAGGGGAAAAGTAACTTGATTTATGTGTGAAGAGTGTGTCCTCATTTAAAAAAACCCAAACATTTTAAAGTGCAGTTTTCTATAGAAATTGTCACTTGTATAAATTATCCTGGTTACACCCCACTCTGCTGTCAATCAGACAACCTGTCCTGTTACTTCCTGGTTTGGTTAGTTCAGTGGAGCTAAACTCGAGAGGCAGCAATTCCCCAGAGCACCTGCCCTGCAATAAAATTTCTCCTTGAACTGCTTTGGGAAGTCTGTGATTGGACAGCCACAGGAAATCTGGGCGGGGTTAGAAAAGGAGGTCTTGCAAAGACAGATCTACAGCTTTTACAGCAGTTAGCATTACCCCCTTTTTTGTATTGGGGTAGTAGAGTGTCCCTTTATCTGTATATTGAAGTTAGGTTGTACACAAACAATGTGACCGTATAAATCACTTGTTTAGAGTATGTGCGCAATGAGGTAAATTTCAATTTTGTGAGGATTTAGATATAAATGGATTATACTGCATTCTCACAAACCTTGTTACCTTGGAAAACACCCTCTTAGTCTATGCATCCCTAATACCATTTGGCTATGCTTATTGTTAATTCAAACTACTGATAGATCTTTAGCAGAGTTTCAATGATTTAACATTTCCTAGTATTAGAACAGACATAATAAATTAGGCTTTGAACTAGATTTTAGTTCCTTTACAGATCTTTATATACAGTCATCTAAAGTCAATGGCTCCTCTTTTTTTTAAGAATGATTTGCCTGCATTACTCCCCTGTTAAGAAATTATCTCCTTCCCAAACTTCCCAAAGAGATTCTGAATAGTCCTCTTGAAAAAATCCCCTTAAAACTTCCTGACAACGCTTCATCCAGCAGATATCCCAGCACAATGATAAAAACATTATGCAAGCAGAAAGATAGTGTAAATAAAGCAATTATTATTTACCAGCGTACCACTGTCCCCATGTAAACAGCTGATTGGGATTCGCAAAAGAATACCAATGCAATGTGATACATAATGTCCCATAATGTTAAAAATGTCAACTGTGAATCAACTGTTTTGATAGAAATTTTAGAGCATTAGAAATGTGTCAACTAAATCTCTCTCTCTTTGTCTGTCTGCCAGTCTGTCTTCCAAATACTTTACATCTACAATCTCTGACACAATTATTAAAATATCTTTGTAAGCCATCATCAAATCGTGACAGATTATTCGTTGAATATGTAAATGTTTTCTTATGCATGTGTTCAATACTTCTATAAATAGTCTGAATAATTAACAGCTAACTTCGCAAACGGTATAGCAAGCAGGGTTCACAAAGATTTCTCACTCACTCAGCATGCAATCCTTTACCTGGCAAGAACATTAATCAATAGGCTCTGGGTAGCTGTGAGCAAAAGTTCTAATCCTCTTGGCCTCACAAACTTTTCGAGATATTATTTTAAGAAAGAGCAGTTGTATAGTGTTCAGATTAAAATGCATTGCTAGATTTTGTTATAAATCTATTACAGAATATCTGCTTTATCTGTAAGACTAAGTAAGGATGGAATCAAAGTATCGGGAAAATCAATTATTTAATTATTAGTAACAGATTATGTGCTGAACCGTGTGTACTCATGTAATATGTAGAATTGAAGATACATGTGATGTTGATACCACTGTATAACTGCATTGTGTTTAATAAAGCAATTATTTACACACAGTGCTATGGTCATTCTAATTGCCACCCGGCAGTCTGGACTTGCTAGTCTCTGGGTAGTTTTGGGATATGTATTAGAGTGTGTTATATAATTTTAATCTCTCAAGCTGAATTAAAGCAAAAGATCTCAAGTAGTGTCCAATCTTGGGAAGAATGGCACATGTATATCCTGGCTCTGACGTAAGATTAAAGGAGCCCCAACTCTAATACTAAAAAGCATGTAATATAAAAAGGTGTGTTACGTTGAATTGTGTACTGGGAAAAAGACTGTGGTTGTGGAAAATTCATATTATTATTATTATCATTATTATTATTATGTTACTTATATAGCGCCATCAAATTCCGCAGCGCTTTACAATGGGTGGACGAACAGACATGTAGTTGTAACTAGACAAGTTGGACACACAGGAACAGAGGGGTTGAGGGCCCTGCTCGATGAGTTTACATGCTAGAGGGAGTGGGGTAAAGTGACACAAAAAGGTAAGGATAGCATTAGACTAATGACAGTTGCGAAAAAGCGATCACTCGGGAGCTATTAACAGTTTAATTGATACGCTTTTATGAAGAAGTGGGTTTTTAATGATTTTTTGAAGGAGTGGAGAGTGGGTGAGCATCTAACAGAGGAGGGAAGCTAGTTCCACAGGAACA